TTGTTCTCGCTATAGCCAATCACGTTTTGCTTTACAATCAGGGTGGTCTCGTCCTGAAATAACTTCATTCATCTCCTTTGGCTCAAATAAGAAATATAAGGGCCATAAAAATTGGTATAGTAAAAGATGTTTAAAACTGGATTTTGCCAATCCAAGCCACAGGATTATAATTAACGTGCCTTTGAAAATGCCAGAGAAACAGCGCTTTAAATCACGGCTATGGGAGCAATGCTGGATACAAACACGTTATGGAAGCGTCATGTTATTCAAGATGGAAAGAAAGGCGTCAATAAGTAACTTACTATAAAATAGCTGGATTCAACCTCATGATAAACATACGAGTTTGTGTAATAGGTTAAATTGCCGTCACACAACAGTCAAGCCGTTTAAATGATGTATGAACAGCAATGTGGATCTAACAATATATGAAGCATTATAAATAATATTTTCAAACATTAATTAAAAGTATTACAAAGTTGCCATTGTTTGGGCAGGAAACAATATATGTGGGTTTTTTTTTTAAATGTGGTGCAGGTGTGTTGAATATAAATGCATATACATGTAAGATGAGATATTGGTTAAAACACTTGATCACGCAAACAATATTTCATATAAACCAGACTTACTAGTTTTAATTGTAAAAGTTACTTAACAGCATCCAAAGTAAATGCACAGTTTGTATTTACATGGTCCACTCACAAATCCCCAGTACACACTGCAATGATGCTGAGGCTATTTGATATTATACGTTTTATTATGCCATATATTTGTCACCGCAATTGTGCTTTAAAAGTCCCATGTCACCTCGTCCAGTGTAGACTGATTATGATGAGTTTTATTTGCGTTGGACTCATTGCGATCATGCTCGGGATCTGTGAATGATCAAGTTGTGTATAATCCTGAGTTTATCCTCATGCGCTGATCCTGAAGGAAAAGAAGCCTTACACTCCAACAATCTTTTGGAAACAGGTTTTTTTAACCACAACCATTTTAACCATTACAAACAGCACTTAAGCTCAATTTGAACGAAGTGTCCATAGAATGCAGTTCCTTACAGGGGTGCAAAATGAATCTGTCCCGCCCTGATTGTAAAGCAAATCGTGATTGGCTATAGCGAGAACGTGCTACGATTGGTCAGCGAAGAGTGGCTGTTATCTGATTGGCTTGAGTAGACGGTGGGTGGAGTCCACGTATTTGTGGATTGGTGTGTGTCTCGACGCTAGAAATGTTTCAAAATCCACAAATGCACAGCGTGTGATTCACAAATGAATGCCAGGCAAAGTTGTGTTTGTGACTTAAAAAGATATTTGTGAATGTTTTTTATTTGCAAATTGCATTTTATTTATTTGTGAATTTATTTCATGTTTGTGAAACGCTAAGATTTACTTGTGGATCTCATTCTATTTATTCGTCAATATGTTTAATTTTTGTTAATCTCTTTACATTTATTTGTGGATCATAATCTATTTATTTGGAATAAAGCAACAATTCTACCCCCATAGAAAAGTAATGAAGTGAACAAAGAATTTAAACTCTGTTCTCATTTTGATATACACATTTACTCTCATTAATGGAGATAAGCACTGAAATGACCTAAAGTCATTACGCAGAAGTTAAACAAAAAATCTATGAATTTAGACACATTTATAGTGGATGCGCTTGATCACTTTTCCTGTGGCTATGTTCTAATGACAGCAAGGAGTGCAATAGGTGCACAATAATTCATCTTTAAACTAAACTGCAGATCTCATGTTATGAGAAAATATAAATATTTAGCGAGAACAATGATCAATAATGCACACTTATGGTGCGTGGACACTGTTGGATTCGGTGGTCGAACAGTCCATTGTCCGGTTTGAATATGTCCAATGATAATAGCTTACTGTACAACTGCAGCTGCACGGTGGTTGATGTCGTGTGTAGGCATCTCCACAACATTATGAAAAATACCACTGTATTTGAAGAATACAACTTAAGGAAAATGGTAAGATTTACACGTTTCTTTTTTTAAAATGTCAGTGACGCGCTGAGTCAGACAATTGTATTTACACTGGCCTATTTTCATCTTTAAACTAAACTGCAGATCTCATGTTATGAGAAAATCTAAATATTTAGCGAGAACGATGATCAATAATGCACACTTATGGTGCGTGGACACTGTTGGATTCGGTGGTCGAACAGTCCATTGTCCGGTTTGAATATGTCCAATGATAATAGCTTACTGTACAACTGCAGCTGCACGGTGGTTGATGTCGTGTGTAGGCATCTCCACAACATTATGAAAAATACCACTGTATTTGAAGAATACAACTTAAGGAAAATGGTAAGATTTACACGTTTCTTTTTTTAAAATGTCAGTGACGCGCTGAGTCAGACAATTGTATTTACACTGGCCTATCGGTTTTCACTAAAAATAGCTAAAAGATGTTCACCTTATCAGCAAAACTGCATAATTTGAATTGTTTAAAACAACTGAAATACTATTTGGCCAGTGTGAAACAATGAGATCAACTCTATTCTAAAATATTTATCTGATAACCATTTTAAACAGTTTTGTTTTTATGGATATTTTGATATATTTATTCTTAACATGGTGTCACGTGGATGGGAATATGCATGGAAATGATATGCACTATGCAGATGAGGTTATGCATCGTAAAAATAGGCGTTGTAAGTAGGGATGTGCGCGACGACTAATTTGACTGTTGTTTAAACGAAAGTTTTGTATCCGACTAGTCTAAAAGCAAGAAACCCCCAAAGGATGGTAAGAAAAAAAAACTTGTGCGTGTGTGTAGCATATACAGTGGTGTGAAAAAGTGTTGGCCCCCTTCCTGATTTCTTATTTTTTTGCATGTTTGTCACACTTTAAAGGGGTCCTATTATGCTCCTTTACAAAGTCTTGATTTTGTTTTGGGGGTGTACTAGAACATGCTCTCATGCTTGGTGGTTCGAAAAACGCATTATTTTTCACATAATTTACATTATTAAAATACCTTTCTCCCCAGCCTGGCACAAACGGCTCGATTAGTTCCGGCTTTGATGAAGGTCCGCCTTCCGAAAAACTAAATGTGTTGTGATTGGTTAGCTGTCCCAGTGCGTTGTGATTGGCGAACAGCTTAGACGGTGTTTCAGTATTGCCACGCCTCTTGCTCTGTCTTTCAACAAAAACAAAGACGTTCGGGCACGGAGGTGAAAAAAACAGCGTTTTAGGCGGTCGCACACCGGATGAGAAGCGCAGAGTCGCGCCACGTCTTTAAAATTCGAACACATTATTTTCTATGAGTGTAGGCACACCGGCGGCGCCATTCGGCATCTGTCTGCGGCGCCCAGCTACGTCGTGTTATATTTGTAAGAGTTGTTCTAGAACAGTGGTTCTCAATGCATGTTTTCCACGTCTCTTTGTTAACAAACCTGATTCAGATCATCTCGTTAGAAGTGAGCTCCGTGCATGAACTGTGTTCCGATTCTTTTACTGCATAGTTTAATAATTTTATTTTAAAAATTGCTTGCAGTGTTACAATTCATTCCAGCCCTCATTAGAATAATATCCAAAAACATTTTTCCATTTTATGTGCACATTTGACTAAAAAATCATGCTGTTCATGGAAATCTATAATTCATTTCAATGGGATGTTTCATTACATTTACATTACATCTCCTTGATTCCTTTAACTCAAAAGTTAAGAATGTTATTGATGATATTGCTCCTTTGAAAGTCAGCAAGAAGACTGGCAAACAGAAATCAGCTTGGAGAAAATCAACAGCAGTTCAGAGTATGAAAAGACGATGCAGAAAAGCTGAGCGGATGTGGCGGAAGACGAAACTTGAAATCCACTATAGCATATATAAAGACAGCCTTTGTGCTTTCAATGTGGAACTAGGCAAAGCTAGACATTCATTCTTCTCAAACCTTATAAACAGTAACTTAAACAACACTCGCACTCTTTTTGCTACTGTTGAGAGACTGACAAACCCTCCCAAGTCAGATTGCCAGTGAAATGCTCTCCAACAGCAAATGCAACGAGTTTGCTTCTTTCTTTTCTGAGAAGATCAATAATATCAGGTTAGCACATCCCCAAGTTATGCAGAGGTTAGACAGTTCGACCACAATATCAAAAAGAAGATACTATGTCTGCTTTTGAAGAAATTGATAGCAAAAATTTGGAAGAAATAGTACAGCACCTTAAATCGTCAACCTGCTATCTTGACACACTTCCCACATATTTTTTTCAAAAGGTGCTTAACTGTTTGGAAGCAGATCTCTTAGAAGTGGTGAACGCCTCACTTCTTTCTGGGACTTTTCCAAACTCCCTGAAAACTGCAGTTGTTAAACCCCTTCTGAAAAAGAGCAATCTTGATAACACCATATTGAGCAACCTCACTTCTTTCTGGGATTTTTCCAAACTCCCTGAAAACTGCAGTTGTTAAACCCCTTCTGAAAAAGAGCAATCTTGATAACACCATATTGAGCAATCACAGCACAGAGATGGCGCTCATCAAGATAATAAATGATATTCGCTTAAATTCTGAATCTGGCAAAATATCAGTGCTGGTACTACTAGATCTCAGTGCTGCGTTTGACACTGTCGATCATAACATACTACTAGAGAGACTGGAAAACTGGGTCGGGCTTTCTGGGATGGTAATCAAATGGTTCAGGTCATACTTAGAAGGGAGAGGTTATTATGTGAGTATAGGAGAGCATAAGTCTAAGTGGACGTCCATGACATGCGGAGTCCCACAAGGCTCAATTCTTGCACCGCTCTTGTTTAGCCTGTATATGCTCCCACTAAGTCAAATAATGAGAAAGAACCAACTTGCCTATCACAGCTATGCTGATGATACCCAGATTTATCTCCAAATGACTACAGCCCCATTGACTCCCTCT